AAGGAGGTTATTCCTCATCCACATAATCGCTGGGCATCTCCTAATGTCTCTCGGCATCTCAATAGGTTGCACCCAGTACACAGTTTATAAAGATCTTTAAGGTCCTTCTAGATGAAGCCAGTCTATAAAGGTGAAGTCTAATAATAATTATCATCATTAATAGGTCCCGATTCACATTTTGTTCAATAATTGGTCACCTAAACTCCAAGCTCCTTTCCAGTTTTACACAAGGAAGATACACAGGTGTAATTGAGTTTCACACATTCTCCTTTAAAGGGACAAGATCAGCTTATGAATCAGACATCCTTCTACATTTTAAAATCTTCCACTACTTTAAATTAAAATCAACATCGCTAAAATGAAAAAAAGAGAAAAACATTTTTCTCTGCTCCTGTATACAGACAGTCATGTTGTTTCCCTGCCCAGTTAGTCAATTCCCCCTGCTGTTTATCAGGATCTTTCACACAGCAAATGTGCAGGGGAAACATTTTGGAAGTAGGAGAATCTGATTTTTAAAACCACAAGAACTGGCAGAAGAACTGAGCAGCAAACGAAGCACATAAAACTACCGGCAACTCTTACAATTTATTTTAATGGCTAGGGTCCAAATTGCCTGCATCCCTTTACACTGTTTGTTCTGCTTCTGTTCAAATTAAGGTTTTAAAGTTCTTGGGGCAAGAAGTTTTACCTTCCTGTTTCTAAGAACCACACACACCTATTGCGCTATATACAATAAGTACCACACAGGCAATAAAAACCATAAGGCTGTGGAATTGTCGCCCAGGAGAAGTAATGGAAACTATCACGTGATGAGGATAAAGAGTAACAGGGTCACTTTCATCAAACACTGAACAAGGAACTTGATTAGAAGAAGGAAAACAATATTATCCATACATATAATCAGTCTGATATTTTTCAAATTCCTTGTCTATAGAGGGATTTTATAGCTGGCGATAACAGATCATAGAATATTAGGACTGGAAGGGACCTCAAGAGATACACAATGGCAGAATAATACAGCAATAAACAAAGTAGTGGGGACAAAATGTTTATAAATTATGTAGGTAAAACCTTCTGCTGAAAATGGCAGAGGGGTTTGTAGTGTCCAGGCAATCAGTGCCAATTCAGCCAGAGAACAGACCATCATCCTCTTTGGCAAATTAATCACGAGCTGCCAGACTGCAGAATTCTGTGAAGAGGTGGATAGAGAGGTGTGGGAGTCGGGATGTGTGTGGGAGTATATATTTGGAGAGGTCACTGAAGTGGAATCAGTGGAGTTGCATGGGTGAACCTGACAGCAGAATTTGACTCATAAGGTATCTTACTCAAACCACAAAGCATCCATACCTATTACCTCTTGCTTGAGTGTCAGCACATGAGCAAAACTGGCTCTTGACCCCTTTACTAAATGGATCTCTCCTAGAGCTAGAAAGATGTCCAAGAAAAACAGAGCTGCTGGAAAGGATGTTGTGAAGTAAGGAATCCCTGCTCTGACACAGAGCACTAACCCTGAGGCAGGATTAGCAGGGAGAGATGAAAGACCAGAGCTGGCCAAAGCTGATTTCCTCCTTTACTGTCTCTAAAGAAAACAGTCGCTGATTTGCAGAGCCTGGCAGCAGCAGTTGGAGACACATCCCAGCTATAATTCTGACCCTTTCATGGTAATGGGGCTGAGATGGAAAGTCAAATAGCTGCTGCCATCATTGGATAAGGATCTTCCAAGGTGCATGAACCTATCACATGCCATAACTCACCAGAAATGCTCTATATAGCTATGACCTCTGAGGAAATACAATAAGAGCCTCCTTCAAATAAGGGCCCCCACATAAGTTCCCCTCAATGATGAATTTACCCTTTAACAGCAGCAAGTCTGAAGAGCAAAACACCACATGACTGGGCATCAGGGAGTGCCATCAATGTCAGACTGCTCCAGGCTGAAACGACTTCTTCATGACAGGACAGGCCTATAGATAGCAACGGGCAAGTGGCTGCACTGCTCATTCTCTGCAATGGCAGAGAAGCCAACCTGAAAAGCAAACTGCGACCACAACCACTGTTAACACCAAAGCAAGCAACACAGGTTACTGGAAAATCAAACCCAGGGGGGCTTACAATGCACTTCCCAGAGTAAGGGGAATAGTGAAAACTAAACTCAATGGAAACACTTGTATCACAGGCCGGGCGCGAGTGCCAGAGTGTCTCCAAACTGAATGTGTCCCATTCAGCCCCAGAGAATGAGCTAAACTTCCTCTTTCTGGGGCCTGTTGTGAGGTTCACTGCGTTTCTCACCACACTGTCACGACAGGTTTGTCAACACACTGTCACGACAGGCAGGCACTGGGCCCTACCTTTACGTTAGCTGCCTCTGCATGATTTCAACTAAACCTAGTTCACATGCCTGTAGGAAGGAAGTTGCCCATCTGAAAAGATCCATCCCACAACACTTTCTCTGAGGTTTTGGGAGATGTGAGTTGGAAGGAGGAACCAGTGTGGACAGCGCAATGAAGACCAACACAAGGCCTTGTGATGGCTCGAGCAAATCCACACCGCTTTGTAATGATGATGACAACCTGTACTCAAATCCTTCTGTCTTCCTGGGTTCAGGAGGAGCCTGGAAGCACTTAGGTGAAAGGCAAATAGCCCAGGTACTTCTGACCTAAAGGCAGCTCTGATCATTTCACAGGGAAGTCCATCCCAAATCAGTACTCAAGAGATTTGGGGGATTCAGGCAAGGTACAAAATGCACCAAAGCCAAACCCTCAAGTTCACCCACTGCTGCCTTCACACACTGTCCCAACTAAAACTACACTCTGCTCTTTGGATGCACGCACTGATCTTCTGCTGAAACCAGAATGTGGACACCCCCACCTTACTGTATCCATGTGGTATCACAGCAGGGTGCTGATTCCAAGGGCTCTGCTGTGTTACCGGAAGTTATCCATTCGCTCAGTGAAGTACAGTGGCAATAAATGAGAACTACACTGAGGGCGTGTCCACACTTCAGAAAAGATTGACCCTCTGGAGGTCAATCTTCCAGCATTCGATTTAGCGGGTCTACTGTAGACCCCCAAAGTGAACACTGAGGGCAGCCCCCGCCTGTGTCCTGTACTCCTCAGTCTGTGAGGAATAAGGGAAGCCAACCAAAGCGCCTGCTCTCGTAAGCCTCCCACAGTGTAGAAACTATGGCAGCTAGGCGTAAAGAAAGCTGAATCCAGCTATGCATTGTGCTTAGTTGGATGGTGTTCTTAAGCGGACCTGCCTGGTCTAGTATAGGCCTAGCCTGAGTGCTGGCCAAACTTTTTTTTTTCATTTCCCTGACCCGAGCCCAAGAGACGAATGAGAAGAATGGCTGTTATAAGGAGGAAGAGAGAAAAATTGTCCTCAACCTCTGAGGACAGGACAAGAAGCAAATGGCTTAAACTGCAGCAAGGGAGGGTTAGGCTGGACATTAGGAAAAAACTTGGTTAAACACTGGAATAAATTGCCTAGGGGGGTTGTGGAATCTCCATCACTGGAGGTTTAATAAGAGCAGGTTAGACAGACACCTGTCAGGGATAATATTTAGTCCTGCCTTGAGAGCAGGGGACTGGACTATAAGATCCCTTAATGTCTTTTCTAGTCTGTGAGTCTATATGGTCCAGTTGCTATAGCTTTCTAGCTTCTAACAACTGGGTGGATCTCTGTTGCTGACAGCAGCAAAACTTCTAATGGATAAACACCCAGAATGGTCTAGGGATGGGGAACCTAAGACCTGGGGGCCTGTCTCCATGCTGACATCACAAACAGAAATTAACATCCACAAGAATGCCAGCAAAGCTCATGAGAGAGGGAAGACATTTCAGGATGGTCTGTAACTAGCTATTACCCAGTTCTTGTAGTGTAATGCAGAACCAGTAATCTTTTGCTGTATCTGGGCATCCAGCAACAAAAGCAGAATTCAGTCAAACAGAGAATATCTCTGGGATGCTGGCTCAGAACTGGACCAAGATGGTAGGATGCCATCTGATACCGACTAGGTGACCTACCTGAAACCAACAAGTGGTCCCACCTATGTTCTAGCAAACAGGTGTCTGTAGCAGTTGCAAATGTGCTGGCTGCAGCCTCAGCAGCTCTCACCCTGAGGGGAGGGAGGGCTGACAGAGCCCTGGCGCCTTGGCCAAGCTCTCCATTTAGCAAGAGGAGCAGTAATAGCAGAACCAGGAGCAGCAGGCAGCAATTGTAGACTCTCTAACTGGCTCTTTGGCAGCATAAAATCCTGAGTAAAAGACCCTGTTTTCACTGGCAAGTTCTGGTTTCATGTTTCTGATCTTTTAAACAGCAGAGTTCAGCAGAATCTGGTCATCAGCTCCCTGAAGTGACTTTT